GATTAGAAAATGCAAAAGGAAAAAGATGAAAAAGTTAAAGGTAATCTAGGGATCCCGAAAAAGACAGACGTCCACTGATCTCAGACTAAAGTCAGCTTAACGCCTGGGACACACCGGCTGCCAAAGCGCTGGGAAATTCAGCCGCTGCTCCTCAGACCAGACCAGACACTTGTTTCTCCACTCTGGTCGAAGCGCACCTCGTAGTTTTTCTTTTAACCACTTGGTGTCCTCCATTTCCTCTCTGCCTTTTCTCTGCTCTTTTCCTCTACATCCCCCTCCCCCTTGCTGTTTGTGTGTGTTTGTCCGCATGTGTGTGTGAACCTATGGTGTGAACCAGTTGTTAATAGCTGGCCTACGACTTTCTGCCTCTCTGTCCTGTTTGCTCCGGTTGAAAGCATCGACATATACATATATGGACAATGGGTTTCCATAGACTCCAACAACACGTTTTTGAAGAGAAATGGGAGGTGGCCACCACCGCCATTTTGACCGTGTCACAGGTTCCGTCAAGCCCAGGCAATTCCACAAAAGGGAAGAGAGGTGGAGCTGAGGGTGGGGCTGTAAGGCTGGGATCAACTGACGACACCCGGTCGAACTAGCTACAAGCTAACCTGAAGCTAACCCAAAGCTAACGCGGAGGTGGGAGCTAAGCTAATTGAGGTAGCAACCATAGACTGTACATACTGGACAAAATGATTCCATAGGCTCCAATAACACGTTTTTGGTCTATAATGGGAGGTGGCCACCACCGCCATTTTGACCGTGTCACAGGTTCCGTCCAGCCCAGACAATTCCATAAAAGGGAAGAGAGGAGGAGCTGAGTGTGGGGCTGTAAGGCTGGGATCGAGTGACGACACCCAGGCGAACTAGCTACGAGCTAACCTGAAGCTAACCCTGGCTAACCCAAAGCTAAAGCGGAGGTGGGAGCCGAGCTAACGGATGTAGCCACCTAGCTTCAACCCAACCGGAGCTAACTGGAACACCCATCGACCTGACCCTCACACGGAGTTTAGGTGGAGGTTTTCTGCGCCTGTTCGTGAGAAGTACCTGTATTAAAAAAGTTTTAAATCGGTAAGTTTATAATTTATTTCCATAATGAAAACATTTTGCTTTGAGCAAGTTTTCAGTACAGTTTTTTTCGGCGCTATCACTCCTGAGTCGCACCAGCCATTAAATGTATAATGAAGAAGAGAAAATATATTTAAGTCTTATTTTGGGGGGACATTTTATTATTTTTCTTACAAAATCTGAGACCAAGCGTTTCACATTGCAAGACAAGCACCGGTAACCATAACAAAATGAACAACAGCGCGCCACGGGTCGGAGTCAGCCCGCAGCAGCGCGGTGTAGCCTACATATTTTGTTATATAAGTCGCTCCGGAGTATAAGTAGCAGGACCAGCCAGATTATGCAAAATAGTGCGAGTTATAGTCTGGAAAATACGGCAGTTATTAGTATTCGAGCTAAATTAGCAGCCTAAATACATTTCATATATTTCCAAAACGTAATACTTGTTTGTATCTTGTACAGCCAACTAGCCTTTATTCTGGACTCAGTACAATTCAAAAGTAAAGAGACATGGGCGACGGTGGCACAGGAGTTAAGTGCTCGCCCCGTAATCGGAAGGTTGCAGGTTCGAGCCCTTTTCAGTCTGTCGCTGTCGTTGTGTCCTTGGGCAAGACACTCAACCCACCTTGCCTGCTGGTGGTGGTCGGAGGGACCGGTGGCGCCAGTGCTCGGCAGCCTCGCCTCTGTCAGTTGGGCAGCTGTGGCTACATAGTAGCTCATCCCCACCTATGTATGAGTGTGTGTGTGAATGGGTGAATGACTGATTTTGTTGTAAAGCGCCTTGGGGGGTTTCAAGAACTCTAGAAGGCGCTATATCAAATACAGGCCATTTATCATTTACCATTATACAGATGAAGTAAGCACAAGATAACTTACTGGAAGACATGGAATTATCATGAGAACCAGAACAAGATAGCCTGATAACAGTCATGTGAAAATAACAGTTAAAAAGTATGTATGTATTAAGTATGTAAGTATGTAAATATGTAAGTATGTAAGTATGTAAAGTATGTAAGTATGTATTTTCCCACTCACATTAAAGGTCACACCCTGGATTTAATCTGCTGCTCCGGCCTGACCCCCTCCAACTGTACAGCTGACCCGCTCCCTTTCACGGACCACTTCCTCATCTCCTTTTCTGTTCCCCTCCGTCTCTCCATCATCAAGTCACCACGTATCATTTCTTTTCATAATATTAAGGACATTGATCTAGCCTCCCTGTCCTCCAGTTTTGCCACCCTGACCCCTAATTTGTCCTATACTCCCGATGATCTTGTCATTCAGTACAATAACGGTCTGGTTTCTATCCTTAATTCATTTGCTCCCATCAAATCCCGCTCTGTATATTTTACTCGGTCTGCTCCATGGTTCACCCCTGCCCTACGCTCCTTGAAAGCTACCAACCGGAGGCTTGAAAGACTCTACAAGAAAACCGGTCTCACCATCCATAAAGACTTATATTCTGCTCAGATTTCTCTCTACAAGGACTCCATCTCCCATGCCAAATCTCAGTATTACTCCGGTCTCATCTCGTCCAACTCCAGCAACACTAAGGCATTATTTTCCATCATGAACAGCATTTTTCAGCCTCCCGACTCCTTACCCATCCATCTTTACTCTTCAGAAACCTGTAACTCTCTCCTTCAGTTTTTTAATGATAAGGTCAATAGAATCCATCTCTCTTTACCTCATTCCTCCCCTCCCTCTCCTGATTTATTTGAACCCACCATTCAGTTCTCCTCCTTTGAACTTCCCCATCCCTCAGAAATATTAGATTACATCACCAAATCCAAACCTTCCACCTGTCAACTGGACCCTATTCCAACAGTTTTAGTTAAATCGTGCCTTTCTTCTCTGCTCCCTTTTATAACGGCCATTATTCATTCCTCACTATCCTCTGGTACGGTCCCATCCCTATTCAAATCCGCTTCAGTCAGCCCTATTCTAAAAAAACCTGGTTTAGATCCCAATGATTTCAATAACCTGCGTCCCATTTCCCATCTTCCCTTCATTTCCAAAGTCCTAGAGAAAACTGTTGCATCTCAGCTCCATTCCCATCTCACCCGCAATAACCTTTATGAACAGTTTCAGTCTGGTTTCCGTCCCCACCACAGCACAGAAACAGCTCTCATCAAGATCACTAACGACCTACTCATTGCTGCTGATTCTGGTTTAATCTCTATTCTTATTCTCCTCGATCTGAGTGCGGCCTTTGACACCATTTCTCATCCCATCCTCCTCAATAGACTCTCTTCCTTAGGCATCACTCACACCCCCCTCAGCTGGTTTCAATCTTACCTTACTGGCCGCACTCAGTTCATCCAGTTAAAATCCTTTACCTCAGAACCCTCCCCAGTCAAGTCAGGTGTGCCCCAGGGCTCTGTCCTGGGGCCCCTCCTCTTCATAGTATACCTCCTCCCTATCGGCAAAATCTTCCGCAAATTCAATATCCAGTTTCACTGCTTTGCGGATGACACCCAGCTCTACATTTCCAGTAAGCCAAACTCAACTCTCCCACCATCCTCCCTTACACTCTGCCTCTCTGAAATCAAATCATGGTTCACCTCTAATTTCCTCAAACTCAACGGCAATAAAACTGAACTTCTTCTAGTTGGCACTAACTCCACCCTCTCAACATCTGACAGCTTTTCTTTAACTATTGACAGCGCCATAGTCTCCCCCTCCCCTCACGTCAAGAGTCTGGGTGTCATTCTTGACAGCTCACTTTCTTTTCAAGCTAACATTAATAACTTAATTCGATCAGCATACTTCCATCTACGTTCCATTAACCGTCTCCATCCCTCACTGACCCCTCACACTGCCGCCATTCTCGTCCACAGCCTCATCACCTCCCATCTCGACTATTGCAATTCACTTCTTTATGGTCTCCCCAACAAACTCCTTCATAAACTGCAAATGGTTCAGAATTCAGCAGCCCGTATTATCACCAGAACCCCTTCCTTTCACCACATCACCCCGGTTCTCCAGCAACTTCACTGGCTCCCAGTTAAATTCAGGTCCATCTTCAAAATTCTCCTCCATACCTTCAAAGCTATCCACAACCTCTCTCCTCCAAATATCTCAGACCTTATAAGTATTCACACCCCATCCCGTTCACTCAGATCTTCTTCTTCCATCCATCTTGCGGTTCCTTCAGCCCGTCTCGCTACCATGGGGAGCAGAGCTTTCAGCCGCTCTGCTCCCCGTCTCTGGAACTCACTTCCCCCAGACATCAGAAACATCGACAGTTTTACCCTTTTCCAATCAAAACTCAAAACACACATGTTTAAATCTGCTTACAACCTCTGATTTTATTGAACTTTTTCTCTCTTTGTTTTTTCTTGTTTGGGTTTTATTATTGGTTTTATTGTATTTTATTACGTGTTTTCTGTAAAGTGACCTTGGGTGTCCTGAAAGGCGCTTTGAAATAAAATGTATTATTATTATTATTATTATGTGTAAAGAAATAAAAATATATTAGAATTAGTGTAACTCACTGTGATCCAAAAAATAAATCAGCCATAGCTGATTAGTAAATATGACATGAGATCTGGGAGTTTTTAAGTTTCATTCTTTTATTACATTTTTTTCTTAGATCTGTTAAAAGGTCACCATGGCAGCCTGTGTGTCTCCAACATCAGCAACACAACGCAGCAAGTGTAAGTTCCAATTACCTGTCTCGACCACTTCATGTATGGTTTTGTACTTTAAACAATTATGACAAACCCGTTATTTTTTCTCCATAGCCATTTGGATCATTGGAGACAGCTACGTGAGGCGTGGTGCCCAGAGAGCTGCAGAGACCGTCGGACACAACCTTGGCCTCCCTGACGTCTGTGTCTCCTGGTTCGGTTGGGGCGGACTTAGGTGGAAAGACCTTCTCCCCTTTTTTTACTCCCGGCATGGAAGAGCAGCTCCTGATGTCCTCATCATCCACTGTGGCGGCAATGACATGGGGGTGGTCAGCAGTGTGAAGCTGGTCAACATGATGAAGGAGGACCTGCACCGGCTTCACCTTCTCCACCCTCATATGACCATCATCATGTCGTCCATCACCCAAAGGCGTAGATGGAGGGCAGGTGTAAAACCTGCCAAAATTGAGAAGGCCCGGAGGTTCGTCAACAGTGTAATGGCTACTTTTATTTCTAGTTTAAATGGTGCTGTTGTTGTGCATCCTCACATCAGACATGAGAGTCCAGGGATATTTTTGTCAGACAGAGTTCATTTCACTAATAGGGGAAATTATATATTTTTAACTAATATTGCCGATTGTCTTAAAGGCCAGCTCCAAAAGCAGTGAAAGACTTCCAGGTGGGAGTCTCGCTGCTTTTGAATTTGGCCTTTATGACAGATTTATTTTCAGGCAAACAGGATAAACATATCCCTGACTGTTATAGCTAATGTGTTGATGTAATTTAACTGTAGCCATTACACTGTTGAATTGTTCTTCCTTCAAACCACAATGTTACACTCACTCTGCAGCTCTCTGGGCCCAGTTTATTATTAAGTTTTTTTTTAATGTGCCAACACTTTGTGGCCTGTGTTATACAACGTAGTGTAAAAAATAAATGTTTTTGCTCAATTACTGGAATTTCTTTGGTTAAGACTACAAAGTGAGGAATAATCATTTACAAGTTATTTGTACAACAGGCCCATTTTAAATCCCAACAGTTTCTTAGCAGCCAATAGAAATGTGTTCTTTACTAACTTTACTTGCTTTAAAAATCTTACTAAAATAAAGAGTGCCGTATTGCAAAACCCAATCATACTTGTTGTGTAAGCATTAGCTTTGTAGACATTTGTGTGCAACAAAAACCAAACTTAAATAATTTGTCATTCTTTATTGAAAAATAGCAAAATACAGGTAAACAGAAAGTGTAGGAAAATGATAACGTGAAAGTATTGCTCTTTAAATGTAATACTACTTATTTTAAAATAGAAAAACTAAAAATGTCCTGTACAGCAACATGACAGAAGAATGGTGGTCTGTCTGTCAGAATGTGCTGAACAGATTTGCTCTATCAAGAGGAGCCTTAATGTGTACGAGGTTCCCCTTGAGTAATATTGGTTTGGGTTATGTATTGCCACATCAGCATGTAAATGCTGAACCAATCTGGAATAAAGACTGCTGATAGAGGATAAACAAGTAAATAGGAGGAAAAATTAATTCTACTAGGAAACCAACATGAAAACAGCAACCAGCAGCTGCACCTGTGAAGAAACATTTCTAAGAGTTGTCAAGAAAACGTGGGATGAACAACTATAAACATGTAAACCATGAACCGCAAACATCATGAACAACAAACATCAACAAGCATGTGTTCGTGCGTGTGCTGGGATGTGAAGTGTTACACCTCCAAGGATCAGGTGCACTCTGGAACGGCCCCAAGCGCCAGAAAACCTTGCAACAGAGAACTCAGCTATGCCACTTCCAGAACCGGGCTGACACAGGTCATGGGCCACAGGACACAAGAATCACACAGCATTTCCACCTGAAACAGAATCATTAAAATTAGAATCAAATACAACAGTTGTTCAGTATGACATCAAATGGATTTTTAAAGAAGATAATTGGACTTCTTTGGTTTCATGAATATAGGAGGGTTGATCTTAAGCCTGATTCATGCTTCTCCTGCGTCAGTGCGGAGACACGCAACTCCATTATCCGTCCTTGCGTAGGGCCCCAGCGGACACGCAAGTACGCACGGATTCGAGCCCACTTTTTTAAACATCTGTTTAACGAGACGGACTGCGCAAGCTGATGATTGGTCAGGATGCCGTTGTCGTTTCCATCCTGTTTTATGGTCTAGAACGGATCTTACTTTAGGTTTTCTTAGGTTTCTCTTTCATCTGGAAGTGAAAATGCTACATCAAATGCAAATGAATGCACGTTATCATGCAAGTACACCAAAATATTCAGCAATGTGCAGTTCAAAAGGTTTTGTTTTTATCTGGTGAACGTCAACCGGTCCACCAACGTAGAGGTGGGATGGGCCCAAAGATCTGCTTTCATTATTTTGTCTCCTCTGTTTAAATCTTAATAAATTAAGTTACTTTAAATGTCACAGAAACACCTTCAGGAAATCAAATCCAAGCTGCTCTCCTTGTTACCAGTTAAATTAGGTTTTAAAAGTGTTTGTGTGACTGAAATAATTATGTCGATCAGCATGGACGTCACTAGGATTGAGATATAGGGGGGGCTTAGCCCCAGGAGCTTGACCTTGAACATTTTTTTCACATCCTGCAAAAACTTTGTCAATTAATTCATTATCTGAAGAACATTTAACAAAACCTATTATTTCATCACTTTCTTTTCCTTTCCTACCTTTGTGCATTTTCTCTCTTCTTTTTATAAATAATAACACTTAATCAGTTCATTGGTCGGGTCTATGTTGAAGAAAGATTTTATATAAGTCCATTAAAAATTAGATATGTTATATTTCCAAATAAAGCTATTCATTTCAGTCTACTGCACTTAACATGGGGAAATGTTGCAGTCATTTGTTTAATTACAACTTGCTTAATTATAAATGTTACTGAAATATGACAAAGAACAAATGAATAATTGTCAAACTTGTATTCTGCCAAATGAGTGTGCAGTTGACAGTTTTAATATATGAATAACACTGATATGATATGGAATAAAGGAGTATGTAATTAACAATTACAAGACAAAATAACAGTATATATAAAAATTAGGGCTGGGACTTGATTAAAATTTTTAATCTAATTAATTAGAGGCTTTGTAATTAATTAATCTAAATTAATCGCATTGTAATCATTCAGGAAAATGTGCTCTCAAAGCAAAACTTAATTAAAATTATGAGACAGAGAATTAAACATTAGACATAGTTATTACTGTAAAACTAAAGCGTTTAATAAAAAATGCATTTTAATTAATCAAATGTCACTGTGTGATATGAAACAAAACCCAAATCAACTAAAATTTATAATTACTAATAGAAAACACCTGCAAAGGGTTCCTGAGCCTTTAAATAGTCTCTCTGTCTAGTTGAATGACTGAAATAAATTTGACTTTGCACCAGATTCTAATTTTTCCAGTTTCACTTGTTTGTATAATTGGGAGTTTTTATTAGCATTTCTACTCATAATGTAGTAAAAACACATAAATAATAATCCTTCGAAATGACAGTAGAACAGGCACAGATATGATCTAGTACTTAAATGTACTAACTTTTAACACCAGAGCAGGCGTGACATATTCTGAGAATGATCAGGAACACTAACTGGTTCCAGTTGGATGACTGGAGGTTGATGGGATGATAAAAGATCATGGCGAGGAAATAATGATCTGATGAACAGGTGAGCGGACCTTCCTTACATGGGAAGTCCTGCTGTCACGTTAAGAAGGGGGTGCTGCAGACCCGCAGATTCACGCCTGCAGCAGCGAATCTGGTGTGATCTCCAGCCTGATCATAACTTCCTCGTTCCTCGCTGCCCCTGATACACGTAAGCATCCGCCCCTCAGCTGATGACAGCTTCAACACACCTCGCTGCTTAATGATAGTAATGCATGCGATGATGTTTAGACAGAGACTCGTCTCAGAAACGTATAACTCCCCGACAGAATTGTTTAGAAAATCATCAGAAAAGTTTCAGAGTGTTTCTGTTTTAACTTAAACTTCTGTTTTTAACTTTAAGACATGTTGTTTGTGATTGTTTACAGAGTAGTGAGAACACGGAGCGTTCTCCCAGCGGCAGCCAGGTGCCTCTCGTGTGTCTGACTACTTTCATAAACTACTGTTAGGGCAAAGAATTATTCTGTCTGGTGCTTTCAGCGCTGCACAGATGTTACGTAAATGTTAAAAATATAGCTTACCACAACTTTTGTAAAGTTTCTTGTGCCACCGGACGGGCAGCTGCAGCAGAGACGACCTCTGAAAAATGTCCGTGACACGGACTCCGTTGTTGTCTGGAAGTTCGTTTTTCTTCAAGTTAAGAAAAGAGGCGGACGGGTTTCCTAAATCCTGCATCAGTCCAAGCAAGGCAACTTCTTTCCGTTTTTATTCCGTTAGTAGCCATTAGCACTGTGCATTGTTGTGTGCGTCAGTGATATTCTGTCTACGAGGAAGTCGTGCAATGACAAAGGTTCCGCCGTGCTCGAAATGCAAGCTGCGATTAAATGCGTGGAATTTTTTTAATGTGTCGTTTTTTTCTAATTAATCATAATTAACGCGTTAAAATCCCAGCCCTAAAAAAAACTCAAAATGATAGGGGGGCTTGTGATTATTTTAGGGGGGCTGAAGCCCCCCTAAAACAGACCTAACGACGTCAGCGTCGATCAGCGACGACATGAAAGAAAAACTTTTTCAGATTTTGCCTGAAGGGCCTAAACTCTGTCATTAAAGAACCTGTGTGTGTGTGTGTGCGTGCTTGCGTGCACGTGTGTGTGTGTTATCTCCAGCTGTGATGCTCTTTAAATGGACGTGGCTGGGTGAGGGGAAACCACACGGACGGCGTAATGGCGTCTGTGAATTGACAGGCCCTTTACTGGCGGGCACCGGAGCCGCCCTTGTGGAAAATGTGATTACACTTCTCCACAGGAGGGGCAGTTTGGGGACCTGGCTCGTCACTGAGAGTCACGCTTAGGCGCCGCCATTGCGCACTAAAAAAACAAAGAGCTGAGGATAACTAGCAACAGACACAGAGAAACTTGAAGAACACCTTGCAAAAAAACTCTAAAAACATGAACGTTTTTATTCCCCGTGACTGGAGGAGTGAAACGACGCACAGCAAGCGTTTTATTTGTAGACGGAAATGACAGGAATCGTGGGTTTAGAGGTGGCGAGCCCATGAAGAGGTGTAGGAGAATGAGACAAATTTGTCAGTTAAAAAGTCTGTTATGTAAAAAAAAACACAATATCACACTATTTTGGACAAATACATGACAGGATATCACAGAACAGCTCACCGCCCTCTGCTGTCCGGTCCAGGAATTGTTTTGCAACACTCCCCAGGAGACGGAGAAGTATGAGACCTAAACGTCCCTGTCCGTGCGTGCGTGTCTCTCCCTGTTGGAGCTGACAGAGAAGCATGAATCAGGCTTTATTGTAGCTGTCTATTGTTGCTTGATAAGCAGAAACTGTCACCTTAAAAACACCTCCTCTGCACAGGTGTTTCTTTGTCATTAGGAACAGGAATAAAGTTATGGAGGTCAGCAGGTAAAAGATCAGCTTAAATTAATTTCACCATTAGAACAAAGGATGTTGTGTAGGCGTGAGATCACCAAAGATGATAGGGTCTCTTAAATCTTACTTTCAGATAAGCTGTTGACGTTCAGCAGTTGAAACTGGGGGTGAACTGGCAGGAACTCCACCGCAGAGAGAAAATGAGTACCTGCTAGGAACAAAATTTAACAAACAAACAAACCGAAAACCCCATACTGCTGGGATTCAACAATACAGCTTATCTGTGCAATAACATATCAAAATGATTTTAGTTTTAAGATATTTTATGTTTTTCTTCAATGTAACATCAAGCTATCAAGAAATTTGTCATCAAATATATACTAGAAAACTGAGAAGGTTGCATATGCATTTTGCATGTTGTAACTTTTACTCTGAACTTTATCAAGTGTTCACTTACATAAATGTTAGAATATCACCTTAGGTCCCGTACATGCAGACTCTAAGGAATAGATAGTAACATATATGTAACAGTAAATGAAACAGTGCCTGACTGTTTAAAACTCCATTTACAACTTAGTGTAGCATCCTGTATGTTGGGGTCAAACTTCAAGGATAAAGAGCTTTGTCAGTGTATACTTAGGCCCCGTTCATGCAGGCTCTAAGTAACATTTAAAAGGATGTCCAATAAAAGGAAGGCTCTTCATATGTTATGTTCTGTCTGCAAATATCAGAAAAATGTTCATGGTCACAACTTCTGACAAGCACATAACAAAATGTACAGACAGACGAAAAGATATGATGAGGACAGCTGCTCGCTAATCTCCATAAAAATGGATTAATTTCGTGAGCTTCTTGCGGACAGTTTTGCCTTCTTTCATCCGGTCCGTCTCCTGCCGTGCTATGTGATTTAATCTAATTTTGCAGTACCACGCTGAAGCCATCTTTACAAGAACATGGACATGATTACTTTCCGCACACATGTCAAACATGTGGCTGTGCAGCTGCGGGAAGAGATTTTTGTCTGAGCAGTCAGTGACAAGCTGGGCAACAATGGCTGCTGTAGTTCCTCTTCCACGTGGAGCCTTTCCTTCATTGGCTTTAAGAATCCGCTGGAAGCATCTTTCTGTTGCATGGCAAACTGCAGTGATGCCTTGTGATGGTTTCTGTAATCCACCTCTGTCCTTCAAAGCCAAGAGTGGATGCACCGATTCATCCGATGTCAATGCCTGTGAGCAAGGCATACATGTAATCTTCTGCTTCAACTTTTTGACAATGAAACCAGTGATGTAAGAAATCGCTGCTTCTTTGTACTCAGACAGGTTGTTGACATCTGGAAGATCACTGATGGAGTCATCGTCAAGTACAAGTGCTTCGACAGGCACCACATCCAACCTGCGTGCAATGTTCACAGTTGCTGGTGTAGAGTCAAGGATGGCTGTGTTGTCACGAAGAAGACAGTTACCTGTGCCCTTTTTAACTTGGTGCCTTACAAGAAGACGCTTGTATGCCTCTCTGAACTGCCTCACATTGGGGTTGTTGTGGTGACCACCACGTGCTCTGATTGCAGAGAAGAACAGCTCCAAGTGGTCCTGACTGAGTTTGTAAGTCAGAAGATATCGACAAAGAGCAGCTGGATGCTCTACAAGGTCTTCGTAGATGCCGATCACACTTTTAAAGCAGGCAATGAAACCAAAGATGGGTGTCCTTTTCTGTGTGGAATGCAAATGTACCACACTGTTGTCTTTCCCTATGATTTTGAGCCCTCTAAGGAGAGACTCTGTTTCTTTTAAAGTGACCATGACACGTTCTTTAGTTGTTGGTGTGATGGGTGCTTTGTGTCCTTTTCCAAGTGGATTGTGGCTATTTAGGACATCAAAAGCAGCATCAACTGTGCGCAGGAAATCAACTGTGGCTGCACTTCCACTGAACTGTGGATACCTCAGTTGTTGCTCGCAGTACTCAAGAGCAGCAGCCACGCTGCTGCTAAAGATTTGGGCCGCAAGATGAACCTTCATTTTTTGATGTTGCCACTGAATGTGAGCCATTTTGAGTTTGTTGCCAAGACGCAAGCCTTCCCTCTCCTGAAGCTTGTGCAACTCCTCAATGTACTGCCAACGTATCAGCTGGCCATCTTCCCTAACAATAACTTTAACAGTTGCAAAGACGTTGCGAAGAAGCTTGAGCATGTGACATGGGTCCAAGAGAACATGGATTTTCTGTGTGTGATCTGCTGGATGGACAAAGTATGATCTCATGTCCATTATGTCCAGATTGGCACCAAGCTCCCTGATCATGGCCATGTTTTGGGAGGGGCCATCACATGTCAAGGATACAACCCTAACTCCAATGTCATGAAGCCTACACAGACTCTCTTGAATGAGGCTAGCTCTTTCTTTCCCATTCATGCTGTTGATAAGAAAGTAGGCAATCGGGAGCTTCCAAGACTGGTTGATGGCAACAACCATGATGACCAATGCTTGTGTCGCAACAACATTTTCAATCTCACCAGCTCCGACGTCAACATAGCCATGAATCTGGTTCCCATCAAACTCTGTTTGCTTATGAATATACATTTCATCTAACATCAAAGAGCAAACAGTTTCTTTTCCTTCCTTCTTCTTCTCAAGAACATGACCTTTTAAAGCTGTAAATGAAGCAAGAGTAAAACCAGGATCTGCAGAGATACTGCTGTACCAGTTGCGAATGGTCTGTGGATGAGGCAAAGCCAAGTGAAAGTGTTCTCTAGCATAGTCATAAGCCTTAGGAGAGTAAAAATGCAGCGTAGTTGCAAATTGCTTCAAGTTCTCAGAAAAAGATGATCTTTTCTTCTGATTCATTTTCTGAAACAACACCATCCAAACCATCAAGAAGAGAGGCACATTCAGTTGATATTAAAAACTTCTTCTGAAGAACTTTGGTGGCACTTTTCAAAGAAGAAATTCTTGCCTTCAGTCTCCTTGTCTTCCGGGATTGCAGTCTAAGCTTTTTCTGAGCTACGCATACCTTTTCATTTGCCGAGAGAACTCTCCTTTTAAGCGTTTTGGGAGACTCTGTGATCTGATAGCAATGGTCACTCAGGATGCTATTTGGCTGTAATGGCACAGCGTTAAACTGACCAGAGTCTGAGTCATTCTGGTGTTGAACACTGTGACCAGATTGAGCAGTATAACACTCAACTGCTTGCAGAGGAATGTCATCATGTGTTACATTTTGAGTAACAAAGCCCTCTTGAGGTGAATCTTCACACATCAATATGTTGCTCAAATCAACACCAACTTTTATGGCACTGCGTAAACCTGCATCTACATCTGCAACCTTCTCAAAACTTACCTTTTCATTCCTACTTACCTGTTCTTCCCTTCTTGGAACAGGTTTTTGACCTGAAAGGACGAGAAGATTGTAGGTACGGCTGTGTCCTTCAGGCAAACTCTCCCCTAAAATAAAAAAAAACATAAGTACTTAATAAAAAAAAAAGAGATTCACATATACACACATCAGACAAGGTCAGCTTCTGAAGAACACACTGGTACACCAGAGCACTCTGTGTGTGTGTGTGTGTGTGTGTGTGTGCGTGCGTGCGTGCGTGCGTGCGTGCGTGCGTGTGTGTGTGTGTGTGTGTGTGTGTGTGTGTGTGTGTGTGTGTGTGTGTGTGTGTGTGTGAGTGAATGTGCTTGCGTGCATGCATGTGTGTGTGTGTGTGTGTGTGTGTGAAAGGCATGTGGAGTGTTTGTTATTTATAAAGCATATGTTGTTGGATTTCATCCAGAATCGAGACTTTGAAAATATACAGTTTAATTACAGTTTGATTTATTTGACATCTGTATAATGTCTATTATTTTGTTTTTCCCCCTAAATGCCTAACATTTTAGTTTAACATGAATAATTGTCATTCCTCCCAATACATAAAGTTACATATTAAAGACTGTACAAAAATTTATTTGTTTCTCTGAGTAATTAACTATAGAATTAGATGGAAATTAATAACATGATTGTTTCCCATCTAAACAGCCCTAGTCACAGACAATTCAAGGGTGGGGAAGATTTTCTTCTAGTTACACAGCAATGTAACGTCGGTATGTTATACAGCTAATGCTTCAATTTTTTAAATCTCAACAAAAATATGA